TGGAACCTGTATTTATTTTTGCTCTGCCGTGCATGCTAATAAATTGTGTCCCGTCAATCAGACATCTGCATGCTGTGGTGACGTCAACGGCGTTAGCGGTAATTTTTTCCCTAAACAGCCAGTACATCAAAGCGATACTACGTAAAGAAGCTTGGTTTAGCTTTCATTCACACTGACGCACTGAGCGCAAAAAAGCGTACGAAACTATGCAGCCAGAATGTCACGAGATTGGCGACTGTTCTTAGGACACAGGCAAGGAAAAGTTCTGCCCTTTTCCGGTTCTCGTTTTATATTCCGAGATAAGGTTCATTTTTTTTTCCAATCTTATTCCATTTTTGACTTTTACGACTGCTTTCAATTACCTTCGGCTTTCAAAATCTGCTCGCGCGACCATGAGGGGCCTGGAAATCAGCCCGCGCTGTCGTAATCTATCGGCGATGTCCACTGTCAGTATTCATAGATACATAAAATCCTTTATCTACCCTTAAAAAACTCAGTAATTCGTAAGCATTTTCCCCGAGCTGGTGCGGAGCACCGGGTGAGGTCACTAATTCCGCACGGAGATTAGGAATTACACCCGGGTATTGTGACAGAACATAGCGGAATCCAAAGTTGTCAAAATTATATGTCATGGACGTTGGAAAGAAGGTAAAGATTATGTACAAGTTGGTGTAGTTATGCGCATGCGCGAAATTTAAATGAGAGGAAACCGTTAGTCAGCAACTTTCTGATTGCCTGAGTCAGAAATTTGTATTTCAATAATAACGTCAACAATTTATCGGCAAATTTGCAAACTTTTTTTTAAAACCTGTTTTTAAAAATTACACCAAATAAAATGGAAAAAATAATACCAGAAATGCCAATGAAAATCATCAAAAGGGTAATCGAAAACAAAAAGGGTTACTCTTCAAGATTAAAAAGCGAGAAAGGACCAAACGATTTATACTCTATGTAAAGCTTTGAAAGGCTATTACACCATTCTTCCTAACTTCAAAAAGGGTTTTTAAAACGTAAATTTATAGGTAAACTGTCGCTTGAAAATCAACTGAAGCTTTTACGGCTTGTTTACACGGTGCGATTTTCTTCTTTTGATAGATGTGAACGAGTAATTAGTTAATGATAGTCTGATATATAAGGGATTTAATTTTCCACGGGCGGAGAAAGAGAGTGCGCACACCGTAACCTATATTTTTATAAATTTCAATACTTTTTCTATAAATAACCGCTATACAGGGTGTATCAGAAAAAACTAGAAGATTTTAAAATGTTCAGAAAACTATCATTTTATCAAGATATCTCAAAAATATATTTACGTCTAAGTATTTTAGCATCTTCTGGCTTATCTAAGGCCCTGTTCATATGAGCCGGGCTAGCTCGCTTTGCCGGGCTGGTTTATTTTCTTATTCACATGAGGTGGGCTAGCCCGGTAGCGTTACATCATTTGTTGATGCTTCACAAATCGAAAAATGTTGCTTGCATTGATTACAGCGGTTTTGGGCAGATATATTTCGTTAATTTTTGAAATGTATTGTGTTCTTTTGGTTTGCGAAAATGGCGAAATGGTGCTATGAAGGTATATTTGTAGAGAAAGCGATCGACGATTTTCAGCCCAGTTTACCGGGCTAGCCCGCCTAGTGCGTTCATATGAGCCCGTTTTGCCGAGATCTCGCCTCGCTCAAGCGAGATCTCGCCAAAGCGGGCTGGCCCGCTTTCCATGTGAATCAAATTTCAAAAACATATAGAAACAACTTAGGAAGCGGGATCTCGCCTCTAGCGAGTCAGCCCGGCAAAGCGGGCCAGCCCGGCTCATATGAACAGGGCCTAACAGTAAAAACTAGCAGAAAATTAACCTCGAAAAGCGGGAGAACGGTTTGTAAAAGCCTCATTTTTAACCGCTTGTGCAAAGAAAATGACACGTTGAAAATCCAAGTTCAGTTAAAGAGGTAAAAGTTTGGAATCTTTTGTGCAATGTATCGCAATATCAAAAAATTTGATAAACTGATTATGTCCGCCGCGAAACGTTTCAAAATTGGACTTTTTCCCCCGTTTACTCCGTTCTCTCGTAACTTTTTACACGCAAGAATGATTACATGCATGAGTGATAGTTGGAATGACGTAATTACCAGCACTCTTTGTTAAGTGAAAACAATAAAACAAGAGTATTCATTGTTAGTTATGTTTAAGGTCTGGTGCCAAGTCAGTATTGATGTACAAAATACTTAAGAACACACTGCGTCGGTTCTTCGGGGGTCTTTTGTGAGAAGAGAAATATATATATATAGATCAAACTAATCACCACCAAGTATGAAGGTCGAAGTCAAATACCAACATATTTCAGATGCCGAAGAGGAAGCTGCGAATTTGAAAGATAATCTTTTCAAATCTCGCTCAATTGACGAGATTCTGGATCATCTAGGATTGGGACTTCTTTATTAGAAAGTCTTGGCGTTTCTTTGTCTCCTAGTAATGACATGTGGTCTGGGAACAGCCATTTTACCCGCTATACTTCCCAGTTTGAAACCAGACTGGAATATCTCTTCAATTATGGCTGTGGTATTGACAATCTCTACATCAGCCGGAAAAATCGTTGGGACGCCGTTTTGCGGTTGGGTGTCGGACAAACACGGTAGAAAGCGTTCAATTATTGGCGGGGCGGCGTTCATACTTGTTTTCTCATGTGTGAGCGCGTTTCAACAAACTATTTTGCAGACGCATAATGCTACCTTAAACTAAGTAAAGCACTAAAGACATTTCTTACACGGACAAAATAATATATTTCATTTACTGTAACAGGTTTTCTATATACAAATCCGCAATATTTGCTAAATGTGATGGAATAAAACATATGTGTTTGTACCAACCAAAAACATTGTCCAACTCCGAATTAATATCATTTGCCAACACTACAGAGTCTTAAGATAGGCAAAAATTTGCCTGTCATCCGCATGTAGGCAGGGAGCTGTCTTCTTGACACAGTTCGGTAGATCATTAATATATATTACGTATATATTTGTAATTAGTATTAATTTCGAGGTGAGTATTTCCCACAACCACGTTTCGCCACAACCAGACACCAGGACATCATCAGCTATCGCCTTACATCCCTTCAACCCAACCAACGCTTCATCCAATCTTTTTTGAAATCCCTCCGGAGCTGGTGAGATTCCAAACGGCATTCTTAACCATCTGCATCTTCCCCAAGGCGTCCCAAAAAGGTCGTAGCAAAACTGCTCTCCTCATGCATCTAAAACAACTTGCTAAAATCCATTCTTCGCATCCAATACAGTAAAACATCTCGCTTTCGACAAACTGCGGTAGAATATCTTTTATGGTTGGAAGAGGATAGTGGTTCCTCTTCAGGGTTTAATTGATATGCTTCGGGTCAATACACACCCGGATACGACAGTCTTTCTTTATAGGGCCACCACCAATGCCGATATCCAATTTGTTGGAACGTTCTAGGGAAGTAAGGCACGGAGTTCCACCAATATGTCCTGCTCCTTCTTCAATAGGGACTTTCCTGGTGGGAAACTGAAAATTACATTTTTTAATACAACTTAAGCGTGCTGCGGTTTCAGAGGCTGACCTTGTTTTATACTACTTTGCATTCATAAGATCGTCAATACACTATGCCTGCTCTACGTGAAGACCTAGAGCGAATTCAGAAAAGAGCACTGAGGTGTATTTTTCCAGGAAAAAACCTACTCCGACGCTTTAAAACTTGCAAAAATAAGTGCAATTGATGATCATCATGAAACACTGACAATGAAACAGTTCAAGGCAATCATGGACAAACCTGGATGTAAAATCAAAGATTTATTACCTGAAACAAATAATGATGTTAAATATAATTTGAGGAAACACAGGCCTTTACTGTAATGGTGCCGCGCACCAAAACTAAACGTTTTTCAAATTCATTTATTATAGCTAGTAGTAACGCATATAACGCATCTAATGGTTTTTTATGTAAGCAATGTAAATAGATTTTATCTAAATTTTAATTCGTAACCTTATATAACTTACTTCTACTACATTTTTATAAATTTGCACGCAATTCAGCTCTTATAGCTGCAATATGCTTTTAATAAATCTCCATCTATCAATAACTAAAGTCGTGTCTGTACTTTCAAGAGAAACTTAAATTTCCTTAACATTAATCGCGTTCAGCTCGTGTTTCGCGCGCATTTCTTTAACTCTCGAAACATTCCCGCAGTGGCGTGCGAGAGACGATAATTGGGGGGCACATATTGAAATATTCATGTTGTGCAAGATTGATTTTTTTTTCAAATCTATTGTCTTTACGGCCTGTTAATATGAATATATGAATATGTGCCCAACCCAACCCCCCAACCCCAAATTATCGTGTCTCGTACGCCATTGCGTTCCCGCGTGTTTGGATCAGTCTATCGATCAGATATAATAGACATTGTTATATAGGTGATGTGTATTTTAAATGTGATTGGTTCATTCGCAGTCACATGATTTTAAGCCGGTAAATGCAATGCAGTGAAAAATTGTTGCCCGCGTCTTGTCATAACAAAGTAAAGTGGTTTTTTTAAATGAAATTGTTGTGTCACATGTATGTTTTGGTTATATAACAAAGCACTTAATGTACACTACCTCGGGAAATAGCGAGTTTTGTTTTCCCTCGAGTCTCAATGTTTCCCTCGACTCAGACTTCTGGGAAAAACAATACTCGCTATTTTCCTCGGAAGCATACATTAAGTGTATAATGTATAATAGAATGATTGGACATTACATGCAAAACTTTGAGACTCTGTTTTATCACTTTAAAAACGATTTAGCAACAGACGAATGAGACGAAATTATCGCATTCAAGCAATTGAGCAAGTTGACCAAAATTGTGCGCTATTGCCGATTCACCGAACCGCTTCGCGTTTAAATTCACTACCCAGACCTTGTTTCAGGTCAGCTCCTCTGTCATCAAGTGCATTGATAGGTCAAGTGTGAGCTCTGATTGTGACAATTATGGGCGGCCGTTACCACCAAAAATGTTACACGTGTGAAATGAATGGACATAAACAGAAATCATTCATAACAAACACGAATGATTCAATGTGTTTAGAAATGCTTGAACATATTGTAGTAATATGACTGGACAAAACAAGAAATGACTCGTTCAAAGTTGAAACGATTCACTTCACTGTGTATTAATTCGGCTATTATTGAACTGATTCGTATGGACCAAGTGAAATGACTTGATGTATTTTGCAGTGACGCAACAAGTCGTATAAGAGTGACCCAGTAAGCTGTCAAATAATTCATGCTTTTTTACAGCCATCCGATGTGTTTTAAAATAGCTCAACTAAATTCGACACCATTCAACCAGATGAGACGCGATTCGATCTAATATGCGACAATGTAACTCAATGTGAAACGGCCCAGTTAAAGGCGGCGTCGTTCAGCTAGATGTGAACAGATTCAAAATCATGTGAAATCACTCAAATAAATGTGAAATCACTCAACAAGATGTGAAATGGCTTCACCAAAGGTGAAACGATTCGCGTCCAAGTGAAATGACACGGCATATTTTGATTTGACGTAACTTGTGCGTTCTTGACACGTCTTGTTGTAAGTTGATTCATCATGTTGTGAAGTGAATCAACAAGATGCTTCCATCTTGTTATTTATACTTCCTTGAAAGAAATTTTACGGAAATAAAATCAAAATATGGAAATTTGCCGCATGTTTATTGAAATGAGATATCGTTCAAAGTCCTTTCCGCAACTCACACTTCGACGTTCGCACACCGTTATTTTGTATCGCGACATTTTCCAAGCTTTTTTGCATTTTGCTGGCAAATATTTTTCCCCTGGAAGATCTCAGTATAAAGGTATGTGTTCAAAGATTTATACTCTGTTCTTGAACAATATCTCCTTGTTATTTAGAGTAAATTATTTATAGAAAACGGCCGGGTAAAGGGCAAAGGGCCATGTGTGCGTTTGCGCTTTCAGGAGAAAGAAAGTGCGAATTGTTTATTCGGGAAAATATGGCCGGAAAATATGGCTTAAAAATATAAGTTATACGTTAAAGAATTGTCACTGATTTTTCCATGTAACATTTGAAATAATTGTATTTAGGCTGACAGGGCTAGCCGGGTTAACCATGTGGCAGATGCGGAATATGCCGCGGGCCTCGCGCTTATGGGGGCATCGCGCTTTACTGTGCCGAGCTCGTTTTAACGAAAACACACCCATTTTATATCCTTTGCGCACTTAAGGTACTCGCGCATTTAGGGTCTTCATGACTAACGCATTCAGGGCTCCTACACTCTTTAGTTAACCCAGGAAAATATAGATCCCCGTTAGTATTTAATCTCTTGTTGCGCTGTTATATGATCCTGTTTACACGTGTTGCCGACCTGGTCCTGTATCGGACCATTGTCTCCTGTATCATGTTGCAGCTACAGTGTTACTTCTGATTTACTTCTTTTACACTCAAGAATGCATTAAACAATTCCTAAGACGTAATTACATCCAAAAAAATGAATAACAGATAAAACAAAAAACAATTACCAAATTTGTGTGTCTTTGAATTTAAAAGTTTTCATACCAGGGGATGGGGGCCCCGCGCCAAAAACCTGCCACGGGACTCGCGCGATGTTAATCCGGCCCTGTTTAGGCTCCCTAGCAGATGATAATGAAATAATTTCAACTTTGTGTTACGTTTCAGCTGTTGGTAAAATCCTTAAAGTGTATGCAACAATGGTGGGAATATTACATTCAATATTCATTTAAAATTATGTTAATTGCTTGAATATTCTCAAAATTATACAATTGTACATTATGGTGTCACCAAAATTTTATTTTAAAGATTTTTTTTATTTTTTAGAGTAATAATGTGGACACAGTAAATGCATTAATGCAGGTTGTGCAGATGCTGCATAACAGAGAGAGGTCACAGCAAGCCCAACCCTCGACTTCTGCTGTAAATAACGGGCAAAACGGTCAAACTACAAGTGCCTCTAGTAGCACATCCACTGGTGAACAAGCTGCCTCAACCTCGGCAACCAATTCTCGGCATCTAGAAGAACACCGAAGATTGTTTAGCCGACAAGCGGTAACTTTTTATACTGCATGTATTCATGAAACATGTGACCATAAACCCCCCCCCCAAAAAAATAGTAAGAAGGGAGGTGGGATATTTTGAGAAATGAAAAGAGAGGCAAAATTTAACTAGTTGGTTTAATTTACAAATTTTTAGAGGGTACAACCATACTCTAGGCAAATTCCCGGCCGTAGAAGACGTGCACCTGCCAAGAAAGGTAACAGTGCCAGTGGATTATTGTATTTGTAACGTTTTAAATTTAAATTATGATACAAAACACTTATAATTATTCCTGTAGAAAAGTGTTTGACAAAGACGATGTTCTGCTTCGCTGAGAGGGGAGCTACTGAGGCACCATCTTGCTCTGAGAAATTGGAGCTTCTAGAAAACGGTCTGGGCGAAAAACGTGTGTCTTTTCCCGTATCCGCTACTGCGGCTGCTGTGAAAGAAGTGTTATTCGAGTACGACATTGTTAAAATTACTTGTTTCTTTGTTTGTTTGTTAGGACTGCACTCTTTTTTGACTATTATTCATAATAGGCCTGGCTAATTTTATGAGTGAGTGGCAGGTATAACATCATGGCATGGCCTTATCCTTATCCTTATCCTTAATAGGGCTTATCCTCCGTTGCGCTTTTCTGGTGGCTTTCAAATTTTGGTGAGTCAGGAAAAGGAAAGAAAGAAGTTGAAAGTGGTTTCGCATGGCTCATGCAGTACGGAGCAACTGAGATGCTTTGGCAATGGCCGAATATACATACGACCGCTTCAAAGAAGTATTCCTTTGACGGAAACTGTGCGTTTTCATGAAGAAAAAGAAATATGCTTATCATGCGGTGAAAGCGTTTCAGTTAGTGAAATGAGTGAGCATCTACAAGCTTGCGAGGTAAGTTTAGATATTTCAGATAATCCACCGCTCCCATTGTAAATGCTAAGACAAATTACATCGGCCGAAGGAAAATGACAAACATGTTTTTGTTTAACAAACTATTTAACAATTTCGACAGCATTATCATTCTGCAAATGAGCATGAAACTGAAGAGGGAGACGAGAATAGCCGATATGGAATTAACAGTGAAAGGTATCAATTCTTCATAGCATGTTAAAACCTAATAAGACTATAGTTTGCAACTCTATGTGTACGAACTGTTTACAATAAAACATTGGAAATTCAATTAAAGCAATAGTAATGGAACTTCATTTTTAAAAAATCATGCTTTATACGGTATTTGGCTACAGGTGGTACACCATCTCATTTGTTCTTGAATTTATCTTTAGAAACGACGTCGTTCAAGTTACGGATGATGACACGTTAATTTCAAATACAACCTCTTTGCCGCTAAACGAACAGATCGCCCCGACACAATTAGTCTCTAATACTGACGCGAGAGACAGTGACCTGGATTCATTAGCACCAGTTCCTCAACCAAATGAAACGTTGGAAATCGAGGACAGCAATCGCGCTGAACTTGAAAACAGGTATTACCCAAATAGAAAATTTCAATGATACACGGAATCAATATCCACACCGATGCAATCAAAACCAATATATATTTCTTTCATATTTAAACATTTTTAATTCTGTTCTTAGCGTGGAAGTAGATCCTATGGCTCTGCCATACGAAGAACACCTACGAAACGCCATCGACGCAACACTAAAAGCAACGTACGTATTATTGCAAAGCTTGCTTGTAATCATCAATGAACGATATTTTTATGAGCGGAATTTTTTTATAATATTATTGCAGAACTGCAAATGATGACCCTGTCCAAGTTCTGCGAACCTTCTCTTGCCACTTTCTGCGGGGTCGTCCCCTCGATGTTATGGACCCAACGGTGCAACTTGAAGGTGAAACAACAGATGTTTTCGTTACGCGGGAAAACATTTACGAAGATGGCATGGACGAGTTGTTGGGTGGACTTGGTGTGAGCGATCCTAGTCTTCCTTTAGAAGTCACGTTTACTGGCGAGTGCGCACAGGATCTAGGTGGTCCTCGGAAAGAGTTCCTAGGTGCAATGACCCGCGAGATAAAAGACCATTTATTTGTGGTTGGCGGCGATACCTATACCTTACGCCAAGATGTTGTCGCCGAGACTCGCAGATACTTCTTTGGAGCTGGTCTTGTATTTGGTAAGAGAACTTATTATTATTAAACTGCAACTTACAACTACGTTCAAGTTAATGTCTTTGTTAACCCTGACTCTGTTCATTTAAGGTTACAGCATGTTACAAGGCGGACCGCTACCGTGTTTTATGCACGAAGAATTACTGACCAAACTTTTTGGTGTTCATGCAGAACAACTGAACGACGCCGAAGAACAACTTCGCAACGGCTTTTCGAAATTTGGATTAGTAGAGGTAATTACATTTGTTATACTGCCATAGAACACTGAGTACAGAAACAATTAAAAGAAGTGTATTTATGATTTATGTGTACCCGTTACTTTCATAATCATAAAAATTCTATTTAATTTTAATATATTTTTATTTTCAGCTCATCAAGGAAAGACCATCGATGCTCTTCCTATTACGAAGAACAGCATACCATCCGTTGACGTATCCGAGAATCGTAAAGATTTTGGCGCCAAAATTTTCAGAGCAGGGTTCCAACAAGAGGATGAAAGAGAACAGGGCATACAGGCTTTTTTTGAATTACGTCAAAGAGGTTGCTGGTATGTTCATATTTTCTTTCGTTCTGCACGTTTTATCTAATTAACTTTTTACCTATATAACACTTTTTATTTAATCCTTTAGCTGGGAGGCGAGAAAATGTATCGCTAGGCGATGTCTTAAGATTCGCCACTGGTTCAGAGGATGAGCCTGTTCTGGGTTTTGCAATCCAGCCTGCTTTGTGTTTTAGTGACGGCACGCGTTCGTGCCTACCAACCTCCAACACATGCATCAACCTTTTACGGCTGGCTATTGGTGAAATTCTTCCTGAAAGTCAAGATGAAATGTTCCAAAAATTTGATTTAGCTTTCAGCAATACCCATTTTGGAATGGCGTAACGTACCGATTTATATGTATATATATATATATATATATATATATATATTATTATATATATATATATATATATATATATATATATATATATGTCTCTCATTTTGTTGTAACAGCTCTACTCTACTGTATCGAGCACTCTTCTACATTACACTACAAGATTATTAAGCAGATATGTCTGAATCTGTTTAAAAGTCCCAATTCATTAGTCTGTTTAAAATCTATTTACATGGCATTAGCTTTAGATGTTTACGATCTCAGTTATAATATTTACAACAATATTGTACTTTATATATGGTACAATATTTTAAACTATTATATTTAAAACAAGCTTATGAGAAGTAATACCGCTTAATACATGTTTCAATATTATCCCGAAATTATTTTAATTCTAAAAAAAGGGGACATTTGTATTTGTATTGACATTTATCATGTAGGTTACATGATATTTACATTTGTTGTTTTGTGGTATATGCACAATTTGTGGAATATCATGCAGTTGAGACTCACTCCCACTTTTCAGTTATTAAATACTACTGCGATTCCTCGGGTAGTAAATTGTCAAGTGTTTGCAACGCATATAGGTACGGTTCAGTGTCCCATGGGTCTGTGCGCTCTACTGTTGACACTCTGTGTAAAAAATCAGCAAAAGCTGTTTCATCCAGTGGATTTGTAGTGTCCGGCACTACTACTCCGTCGTCATCATTGTACTGTGGTAAACCTGCCTGTACGTCCACACCATAAGTATTTAATTCGGTCTGGAGAAATGAAAAAGTAAACCAAATTCGAAACTAAGTAGATTGATTCCTAATAGATAAGACTTATATATTAGGAAGTGAGCAAATTCAAATTGCATAATTATATATGCCTATTTTTTACCCAGCGAACAGAGTTTGCAGCCCTTTTTCATCTAGAGAACATGATCAATTTTAGTAAGGTTCTGACTTCTGCACAAAATCTTTTTTCATGGTGCCTTATATGGAATTGTATGTATTACTCTATTTCGAAAAAGGCGGCAAATTTGCATAGCGACAAGAATAACTTACCTCAGAAAGATTTTCAAAATATTCGTTGGCAATAGTACCATTCTCGTGTTGTATTTGTTGCATGCCCATAATAAAATTGTTGAAGAGGACTTTTATTTTTCAGCTGTGCGCAATCTTGTGATGTATCCAAGCGTTTTGAAAATTTTGTAAGCATATCATTGATGACAGGCTTATAAACTTCATGAAGGCAAAAGAGGTGGCGTTCATTATCGGATCAAGGATTCCGTCGTTTCCATAAGTGTGAACAGGTCGTAGAACATGGATAGAACGGTTTGATATACATCTCTCCACAATCGCTCAATCCTTGAATTGTGAACACTGCGGCCAGTAATATAACTCCCACGAGATGGTCCTCTTGCTGATGGCTCAACATGTAATGAGCAACATCACGGTTTTCCACACCCATATCCCCTCTAACTCTGGATGGAAGCCCCCATTTAGCAATTGCTCTTCAAACAGTTTCAATACTGTTGCAGATTTGTTGTCAACACACATGCAAGATACACAATTACCCTGCTGTAACCATCGATGCAACCGTGTATGACAAAACGCCATCTAATACGAAAAAACAAAAATGACCATACTAAAAAAAAAAGTAACAAGGGACGACAATATTACTTCTTTAAAATAAACCACTTTTACTAATTTACATTTTTTCACAGATTTTATTTGTGTTGGTTTCAATTTTATCTACCGTGGTGAACACTTTTTTACTTGTGCAGTATTTGGCTACAACTGCACCATTTTAGGTAATAATTAAAATCTAACTGACCTTATCAATTTATGGTTTCCATCCATATGCCAAAGTGATAACGGTGAGCGTACGTTATACACCCTTCTTTGTATGGCGTTGATTGTTCTGAGTCTCCTTCCAACTGGATCTACTCTTTTGATAGAATCTCGTACTCGCCTTCTTTGAACCTTATTCCTTGTGACACAAGCTCTCCTTCTATAGTCTTCATTCCTAAAAAATGTAACCATTTTCACACCAATTCATTCAGACATTTAGACTGCTCCATTCATTCAACATAATACATGGCCAGATACTTTATGTTGTCTTGCCTGAGTGTTTATTTTACCCAATAGTTATTTTACCTGATCTTGGGAAATACGAGATTATTCGTTTAGTGTATATATCAAGGGAGTCGTCATCAATATCACTGAATCTCTCAATGCGTGTCATGTTAAATTCAGCAAGTCTGTTTTCCACTGTTCGCTTGCTGACACCAAGCATTAATGCCATTTGATTTTGAGTAAATCCCATATCTATAAAAGTACAGAAAAGCACATAGTATATATGATGTAATTTAAGAGAACAGTTTAAAATCATCCCTTCACTTCTCCCAAATTCATGATAATTGTTACTTTTTTATTGAAAAGTAAAATACAAACAAGTTGCCAAAACAATTTTTACCTTTAAAAAACATAAGCTGCTCTTGCGTAATAGAAAATCTTGGGCGTCCTCGCCTCCTGAGAGCTTCATCTGATGGAGCTTGATAAGGTTCATATCTTCTTTCTATCCCAAGATCTCTTTTCAATAATTGAACTGCTTTATTTATGCAGTCAACAACCTCCAATGGGATGACATCATGAGTTAATGCATTCTCAGCAAGTACTTCAAGTCGCATTGCACACAGCTCACGATCATCATAACTCGTGCTTTCACTTAACATGGTAATGACATCCTTGATAGCATTAATTAGTTCTGCTGTAAATGAATCCATAATGTATCTATATTAAATTGACCTAAAGGAAAAAACTATTCATCAGTGATTGCCCCCTCCCCTGAAAAAATGTAGCATATAGTATGCACATTGGGTATGGAATAGAAATAGATGGAATCTAATGTTAATGTGAGTTATGTGACATCCTTATTCTTTTCCATACAAAGGGGAGGGAGGGGATCCTCCTGTATATAATACATATTTAAAAATTTTGCCATGTTGCCTGCCCATGACATTAATTAAGCTATTAAGATTTTTGAATAGATTAGTATTTTCAAATGTTATATCAATGTTAAACAACTCTTTATAAAATGTTACAACACTATGTATGTCATGTATGTTGACGCAGATAATTCCTATATTAAAATAATTTACTCTAAAAACAAGGAGATATTGTTCAAGAACAGAGTATAAATCTTTGAACACATACCTTTATACTGAGATCTTCCAGGGGAAAAATATTTGCCAGCAAAATGCAAAAAAGCTTGGAAAATGTCGCGATACAAAATAACGGTGTGCGAACGTCGAAGTGTGAGTTGCGGAAAGGACTTTGAACGATATCTCATTTCAATAAACATGCGGCAAATTTCCATATTTTGATTTTATTTCCGTAAAATTTCTTTCAAGGAAGTATAAATAACAAGATGGAAGCATCTTGTTGATTCACTTCACAACATGATGAATCAACTTACAACAAGACGTGTCAAGAACGCACAAGTTACGTCAAATCAAAATATGCCGTGTCATTTCACTTGGACGCGAATCGTTTCACCTTTGGTGAAGCCATTTCACATCTTGTTGAGTGATTTCACATTTATTTGAGTGATTTCACATGATTTTGAATCTGTTCACATCTAGCTGAACGACGCCGCCTTTAACTGGGCCGTTTCACATTGAGTTACATTGTCGCATATTAGATCGAATCGCGTCTCATCTGGTTGAATGGTGTCGAATTTAGTTGAGCTATTTTAAAACACATCGGATGGCTGTAAAAAAGCATGAATTATTTGACAGCTTACTGGGTCACTCTTATACGACTTGTTGCGTCACTGCAAAATACATCAAGTCATTTCACTTGGTCCATACGAATCAGTTCAATAATAGCCGAATTAATACACAGTGAAGTGAATCGTTTCAACTTTGAACGAGTCATTTCTTGTTTTGTCCAGTCATATTACTACAATATGTTCAAGCATTTCTAAACACATTGAATCATTCGTGTTTGTTATGAATGATTTCTGTTTATGTCCATTCATTTCACACGTGTAACATTTTTGGTGGTAACGGCCGCCCATAGACAATTAGTATGTAAATATCTGGTAACCATCGCCGCTCAAGCGTGTATCTTTATATTATGATCACAAAGGTCTGGTACAGCTTTATGTAAAATCAACACTTTTCGATACATAACATAATTGATTGATTGGACATTACATGCAAAACTTTGAGAATCTGTTTTACACTTTAAAAAGGATTCAGCAACAGACGAGTGAGACGACTTGTCAAACTATCGCAAGCAACTGAGTAAGTTGACAAAAATTGTGCGCTATTGCCGATTTACCAACCGGCGTCGCGTCACTACCCGTGCCTAGTTTCAGGTCAGCTCCTCTGTCATCAAGAGCATTGAGAGGTCGAGTGTGAGCTCTGATTGTTATAATTAGTATGCAAATATCTGGTTACCATCGCTGCTCAAGCGTGTATCTTTATATTATGATCACAAAGGTCTGGTACAGCTTTATGTAAAATCAACACTTTTCGATATACATGGTGTATCAAAATAAACCCCTATTCGAAGGAAGCTGCTGTTGGAATTTGAATGCATGATTATGCACTAGAAACAGCATATTGATTAGGTTAGGGCATTCAAATTGAGCGTCTCGTTTTACATTTTAATCACACGTGAGTTTGATGTAATCATAATAATGCATTCAAATGCTAAATAAGGTTGATTTAAATACGGGATATGTTCTTTTATACAACTTGTAGTTTGAAATAAACCCCACGAAACGATTGAAAATGGAGCGACTGTGGACCAAATTAAAACAGTTTTTGCCAACTATGCGTCTTTCTGAAGCGAGAAGTTCTGATGAGTTGAAACCCAAACAAAGTATGAAGGTCGAAGTCAAATACCAACATATTTCAGATGCCGAAGAGGAAGCCGTGAATTTGAAAGATCATCTTTTCAAATCTCGCTCAATCGACGAGATTCTGGATCATGTAGGATTGAGGCTTCTTCATTGGAAAGTCTTGACGTTTCTTTGTCTCCTAGTTATGACATGTGGTCTGGGAACAGCCATATTACCCGCTATACTTCCCAGTTTGAAATCAGACTGGAATATCTCTTCAATTATGGCTGGGGTATTGACAATCTCTACATCAGCCGGAAAAATCGTTGGGACACCGTTTTGGGGTTGGGTATCGGACAAATACGGTAGAAAGCCTTCAGTTATTGGCGGTGCGGCGTTCATATTTGTTTTCTCATGTGTGAGCGCGTTTTCAACAAACTATTACTGGCTTTGGATAAACCTTTTCTTCGTTGGCTATGGACTGACTATAGTATTTCAGACTTATGTCACGATAGTCGAATTATTTCCTACAAGATACCGTTCTATGTTTTCTGTATTAATCGCTGTCTTCTGGCCTCTGGGATTTCTACTTTCGGCTGTTGTTTCAATGGAGCTTTCGGTGATCGGTTATCATTGGGCTCTGGCCACCGTGTGTTTTCCGAGCGCAGTTGTCCTTATCGCTAGTATTGTATTTCTTCCGGAATCACCACATTTTTACCTTGCAGCCGGAGACGAGAAGAAAGCTTTAAACATTTTACAAGATTTGGCGCCTGAAATGGATTTTAGCGACACAATAATTGGGAAACACGGTCCCAATATACAGAGGGCAGATTTTACACAACTATTTCGCTCAGGTCATTGGAAAATCACAACATGCGCCTTAATTGTGTCTTTTAGCATATTCCTATCGCATTATGACTTGATATACACCTCGTCTGACGTGGCAGGCAGTCAAAATTATACATCTACGACAACTGGTTTGCAACACGAGGATATAACAAGCAGCCACATGTATGCCATTATGGCCTGGATGAATTTGCCAGAAGTTGTGCTTATTATCGCAGCCGCTATGAGTTGTTACGTTTTCGCAGTTAAAACAATACTTTTAACAGTTGTGTCGTTGACACTCTTATTACAGATCTTTGCATTGTTCGTCGTAAACCGAAAAATTCCATTACTCATAATCACAATGTTATCTCGTGGCCTTCTTGCAACTTGCGCATCACTCCTGAACGTATTTGTATCTCTGGTTTACCCGACAGAAATTCGTAGCGTTGGTTTGGGCACTTGTGTCTTTGCTGGTCGTATCGGAATTCTCCTAGGACCATTCATCTTTGAGACATGGTTCGCCAAAAAGTATTTTTATGGAACAGTTTTGAACGTGGCAATAATATTCGCCTTATTTATAGCAACTGTCTTGCTGCCGACGCGTAACGCTACCCTAAACTAAGTAAAGCACTAAAGACATTGTTACACGGACAAAATAATATATTTTATTTTGTTGTAACAGATTTTCTACAAATCCGTAATATTTGCTAATTTGATCGAATAAAACCAGTGTTTGTTAACCAATCCAAAACATTCTCAAAATCCGAATTAATATAATTTGCAAACTCTACTGAGTCTTAAAGAAGAGGCAAAAATTTGCCTATCATCTGCATATAGGCAGGGAGCTATCTTCTTGACACAATTGGGTAGATCATTAATATATATTACATATTATCATATTTGTAATTGATCGCGTCGCGTAGCGACAGCGATCTATAAGCCGTTTTCCACTTCAACCGTATCGTAGCGAAACGTAGCGTATCTTATTGTTTTAAAGTCATTAGTTCTGGCTGAATAGTCGGAAACAAAGAAATACGCTACGATACGGTTGAAGTGGAAAACAGGCCATAGTTTCGGCTTGGTTTTTTTTTATTTTGCAGGCCATATCACCCTAATCGGGAACCTGCGCACAGGTAAGTTGCTAGTTAGTTAGAATCGATAAAGCGATCAAAATGCTAGCAAGTGCTATCTTTATCTTTACACTCATTACACATACAACTAACTGCACACGCCGAGCAGAGTAAGCCTGCACTAAAGGATTTCAAGCAGTTTCGAAATGGGCTGTTGTGTGTTTCTCCTGCTTTCAACATGCGACTATAGTTCGGTATATTGTTCATTTTTATTATTAAGAACATTTACGACACAAAATTTGCATAGCTGGGCTGGCTACGCCGCTGTGAACGACGCGATCATATAACGCCTAGTAGGCGTAACGAACATTCTACATAATATTTCAATAAATATCGATAAATGAAATTCATCGCTAAATTGCAGCTATGTTCTCTTCTTGCATTGCAATTAATAAAGTGAATAAATTCACATAGTTGAAAGAAATGGTTAGATTAGGGAAAATTTCGTCCCAAAATCAACTCAATCATTCTCATGGTGTGATAAGAAATATCTTGCTTTCGCATTAAAAGTTCAAGCAGTTAAATGTTCGACTCATTGAGCCAATAATGTTCCAACATTCCAACAAGGTATGTATCATGTCAGTAATGTAAAAAGTTATTTTTTAGATTAAAAGCTTTAAGGAACGAAGCTACCGAAAATAAAAAGAGCGTTTTTTACATTGTCAAATTAGGGAGAGCAGTAATTGGTGTAAGCTGTTTTGTTTCCCAGCCATTTTTTTGGGTCATTTACTTACGTTAGTTTGTTTGTACCTGGCAAAGTTAATAAAATAAAATAGAATACATTTTTTTGGTAGTTGGAAATTTTTAAAGTGCTTGCGATTGGAGAAGCTAAGTGTTATAATCACTGCATGCCTTGTTTCCCTCAAGTATACCTAGTAATTTCAACACCAGGGAATAATAATCCTTAAAGTGTAATCCCAGAAAGTTAAACACCGAGTTTTATAAGAAGAGTAAATAAATGACAAACAACCTTTCTTGAGTAGGCTTTACTAATACACTAACAAAAATTACAAAATGGCTTCTAATTTATAACTGCACGCGTAAAAATCATCATGTTGATGCAAGTTGTTAAAAACAGGAGTGAACAATGTTGTGCTGCACCCTGTGAACAGTATTCTTAACAATGTTGTTGAAGCTTGTTGAATCATCAATGTTGTTGCAACTTGTTACAACATTGCATCGTGATTGCGTCAACATTGATGATTCAACAAGGTTACCAATACTGTTCCCAGTGTGCAGCATTTTTCACCCATTTTCCACCTTATAAAATCAAGCAGTTAAATGTAGCATTCATCGAACCAATGGTTTTAGCCCACATCCCAACAATGTCAGCATCTCCTAACGTTGTCTGTTTTCAGTTAATGATTAGTCCAATGTACTCTAACAATGCCAATGGACGTTTCTAAAAAAAAACCGACTGCTAACAAGCAACTTGATACACTCCTCACAGAGAGTCTCTTTCTCATATCCGGTGATATTTCTCTATTTCTTCATAGGCAGCCCAGACATGTTTTATTATTATGACCGAGTAGACTCGTGTGAACGCGCGAGCCGCTACGAGAACGAAAACATGTCTGGGCTGCCTATGATTTCTTCGACTTCTCTTCGCGATTGTAAACATCCTGTAGTTCACGAACAACATCGGATGAACGGAAATAAAAATAAGAGTAGCGACTTGTTCTGAAACTACAAACTTCACAAAAATTAGCACCAGAACTAATTCGACAAAATTAAGTGTTGCTAAGAGGATTAAAAGGTTTTTCCTCGATATAGCTGTTCAAAGAAATATTGGATAATGTGTCGCTAAATATCCATCAAAATTCATCACAAACAGAGTCAGTGATGAAAATCCCAAGAATGCAGATGATACGTCGACTAAAGTGAGCGCTAATCTTCTATTGCTGTCCTCAGTTAACCATAACATCGCAGCAGTTGCTATGACTGGATGATTAATCAAGACCACAAGTAAGTCGCTACAGGACAAAATCATTATCATGAAATAACACAATTTCTTTCGAAGCTGCGCTGATCTCCAAAAACTGGTTATGACCAAGGAATTAAAAAACACTCCGGAGAAATGGAAACAGACATTTACGTTAAACAGAGATATTAGGTGTATTGGGTATTTTAACTCCACAGAAAAATGTTTAAAGTACAACACAAAATGCATTATATTGAAGTATATATGCTTTGAAGTATATGTGCATGTATTTCATTAATGACGGTCATTAACATAATTATAATAAAAAAATTCATATAACATAATTACTTTATAAATAAATAATTAACATTTTATGCCAATATACAGTTGGAGGTAAAAGTTTGAGTCCAGTGACTGTATTTCGTTGTTTTAGCAGCATATATTAATATTCTACAGAAAACCTTACCGAAATAAATAAGTAAAAAAGTAAACTGAAAAATACATGCTGTACCGGAAACAAGTATGACATGTTATGATAGTCATTTAACGTATGTTGATGTGCAAACATGCATTACATGTCAATGCATAGTATCCCTCTTTTTTGCTCTTGAAACGGCCTTTATTCTTGCTGGCATAGATTCCATAGGCAGTGGCGTAGCCAGCCTGACGATTTAGTCATGCTATGCAAATTTTATGTTTTTATCATTATTCATTTGTTTAGAAATTCATTGTTTTCACAGTCAATGAAAACCAAAATATAAGCATAGCATGACTAAATTGTCGGGCTGGCTACGCCACTGTCCATAGGTTTTTTAATGTCGCACGTTCAATACCTTGCCAGCATTCGTTGACCACTTGCCTCAAGTCATCCTGGCTGGTGGGTCTGTGCCTCGCCCTTTTCCGGTTAAAACGGTCGTACAAGTGTTCCATCTGGAATTTGAGGTGGAATGCCATGAGAACGAGATCACCAGAACGAGTTTGCTTCTAAAAGATTTCTGGCACCGCATAGAAGATGTGCATGTGCTTAGGGTGATTATTATGAGTTAGACGCGCGATCATCTTTGTACCATATGAAATTCCATGTCCTTGAAGAATCGCCGGGATGGTACTTTTCTTTAATTAGGCTCCTATTATATCTTTCAATATTGCCAAACCCAACATGACCGAAGCAGCTAAAAGTTTGCTTGAGTAGGATTTAGTTTCTTCGAACCTCTCCAAGGTTAGTTGCATACCATCTTTTGAAATTCTCACTTTTTCTGCGATCTTACAAGGAAAGAATCCTTCAATACTTAATGCAACTATTTGTCCTTGTGCACCATCACTTTGCCCATTTTCCCACCCATCTTAGCAGTGTAAAGGAATGAGGAATTTATTTTGTTATAATTTAGATCATTAGGACCAAAACAGTGTGCGATTAATATGGTTTACAGTACTGAATCACTAGCACGCATGTCTTAACTCGAATACGCAGCCAGGATTTAATACTGGAATTCTACAACAACTGGACTCAAACTTTTGTCCCCTACTGTATCATTAACAAAAGATGTCCAGTTTTTGCAACGACAAACTTGCAAAGTTTGCTCTCCTGAAGGCCCTCTTGCCGAAAAGTGTTTTATCCACTTTAGGCAATTTTTTTATGCTAAGTTATTTGAAGACGCTGCCACGATGCTCCCTGGTTATGTCATGATGATTTTAATTACGGTGAAAATATCTTTAATTTTCAATTCGCCACATAAAGTCACGCATAAATGCCTATTCATAGGCTGAAATTTAAAGCCTTCCATTAGCTGGAGTGTTTTCAGTGGCGTAGCCAGCCTGAGGATTTAGTCATGCTATGCAAATTTTATGTTATTATCATTATTCATTTCTTTAGAAATTCATTGTTTTCACAGTCAATGAACACCAAAATATTAGAATACTATGACTAAACTCTCGGCCTGGTTACGCCACTGAATATGTTGAATCTAGAAAGACCAACTTTAAGGTGCGACAAATGAAACTACACGTTTTATCAAGTACATCGAGTGGTCGAGAGTGACCACTTTTGTAACTAATTTGTATGCAAATATCTTGTAACCATCGCTGCTCAAGCGTGTATCTTTATATTATGATCACAAAGGTCTTCTACAGCTTTGTGTAAAATCATATAGATCGATATAATTTGAACTAAACCCCAGCAAACAATTGAAAATGGAACGACTACGGACCAAATTAAAACAGTTTTTCCCGACAATGCATCTTTCCGAAGCGAAAAGTTCTGATGAGTTGAAACCCAAACAAAGTATGAAGGTAGAAGTCAAATACCAAAATATTTCAGATGCCGAAGAGGAAGCCGTCAATTTGAAAGATAATCTTTTCAAATTTCGCTCAATCGACGAGATTCTGGATGATATAGGATTGAGGCTTCTTCATTGGAAAGTCTTCGCGTTTCTTTGTCTCCTAGTTATGACATGTGGTCTGGGAACAGCCATATTACCCGCTATACTTCCGAGTTTGAAATCAGACCAGAATATCTCTGCAATTATGGCTGGGGTATTGACAATCTCTTCATCTGCTGGAAAGATCGTTGGGACGCCGTTTTGGGGTTGGGTGTCAGACAAATACGGTAGAAAGCGTTCAATTATTGGCGGGGCGGCGTTCATATTTGTTTTCTCATGTGTGAGCGCGTTTTCAACAAACTATTACTGGCTTTGGATAAACCTTTTCTTGGTTGGCTGTGGAATGACTATAATATTTCAGAGTTATATCACGATAGTGGAATTATTTCCTACAAAATACCGTTCCATGTTTTCTGTATTAATCGTCGTCTTCTGGCCACTAGGATTTCTACTTTCAGCTGTTGTTTCAATGGAGCTTTCAGTGATCGGTCATCATTGGGCTCTGGCCACCGTGTGTTTTCCCAGCGCAGTTGTCCTTATCGGTAGTATTGTATTTCTTCCAGAATCACCACATTTTTACCTTGCAGCCGGAGACGAGAAGAAAGCTTTAAACATTTTACAAGATTTTGCGCCTGAAATGGATTTCAGCGACACAATAATTTTGAAACACGGTCCCAAGATACCGAGGGCAGATTTTACACAGTTATTTCGCTCAGGTTATTGGAAAATCACAACATGCGCCTTAATTGTGTCTTTTAGCATATTCATAGTGCATTATGACTTGATATACACCTCCTATGACGTGGCAGACAATCAAAATTATACATCTACGACAACTGGTTTGCAACACGAGGATATAACAAGCAGTCATATGTATGCCATTATGGCCTGGATGAACTTGCCAGAATTTGTGTTCATTATCGCAGCCGCTATAAGTTGTTACGTTTTTACGGTTAAAACAGTACTTTTAATAGTTGTGTTGTTGACACTCTTATTACAGATCTTTGCATTGTTCGTCGTAAACCGAAGAATTCCATTACTCATAATCACAATGTTATCTCGTGGCTTTCTTGCAACTGGCGTATCACTCCTGAACGTCTTTGTATCTCTGGTTTACCCAACAGAAATTCGTAGCGTTGGTTCGGGCACTTGTGTCACTGCTGGTCGTATCGGAATTCTCCTAGGACCGTTCATCTTCGAGACATGGTTCGCCAAAAAGTATTTTTATGGAACCGTTTTTAATGCCGCAGTAATATTTGCCGTATTTATAGGAACAGTTTTGCTGCCGACGCAGCCGTAAATCCGTAATATTTGCTAAATTTGATCGAAAAAACCAATGTTCTTTACCAATCCAAAACATTCTCCAAATCTGAAATAATATAATTTGCCAACTCTACAGAGTCTTAAGAATAGACAAAAATTTTCCTATCATCCGCATGTAGGCAGGGAGTTGTCTTCTTGACACAATTGGTAGATCATTAATATATATTACGTATATAATTATTATTTGTAATTAGTATTAATTTCGAGGAGAGTATTGATTTTCCTGCATTCTGATTCGTCAAGATTCACTGTCTCTGAAGTGATAGTCACGATCTTGGCCGATTACTATACCTTTTTGTTGTTGTTTTTCAAATGAAAAAATTGGAGTAACTATAAATTGTTATGAAATTATGTTGTTTATTATTTGTAAACACCTCGAAACTTGTACTAAAACAATTAATCGCCTTAGGCTCGGTGATTAATGTAATCACATCGCCTTCGGCGTCCGATTAAGAAATAGAAAACATTTTCCGTGTTTCTATACAGTTCTAGAAACACGCGTCGGAGTTTGGGAGAACGAGAAATAATCAATGGGGCGGGTTTTTCCACGTTATTTCGACTTCCCCCAAACTTTCACAAGTGTTTCTATAACTATATGGAAACACAGGAAAAAATGTTTTCTATTATTTTTATAAAATAACTCAAGAAAAAGATTTTGTACAAATATAATAATTCGTTTTCCGCTGATTAGGTTCTTTCCGCTGTTCCTGAGGGTATAACTTACAAACGGAACACTCTTAAATGTACGGTACGATTTCTTTGCACATATTTGGCCAATACCACACTTCTTTAGCTCGTCTAAGACATGCTTGTGCCCCTAAATGGCTTGAGTGGAATTTTTCACGAGCTTGCGGTATTACCATACGATCACCCTTGAGTATAATGCCTGTAGGGTCAATTGTTCTCTAAAGGTCGAGTATTTCCGAAGTTGCGAAGGAACCTTTTTCACCGACTCATGCAGGCCTCCCATCTTCTATTACTTGCTCCAACGCTAGACGTTCCGGATCTTCCTGAGTGAAACATCGAATTCTCTGGAGTGTATTCTTCTTGGCGTGTCCTGTAATGTTCTGTGCGACGTTAACTTGCCCGATACCAATTTCACCGGTCACGTTTGCATCGCTCGTAAACACATCAGCACGTTTCTCTTTCTCCTGAGGGCTCTGAGAATCCGGAAGAAATGCTCTGCTCATGTGACTGTAAAGTCATATTTCTGCGGCCTAAGTAGCATTCGTTACAGTTGCTTTGGGGCGGAGTGAAGACTTTTCTTAAATATCGTTTCGAGTGGCTTGTGATCCGTTTCCACCAGCACGTTTCTACCATATAAATACGTCTCGAATTTCTCCATCCCAAACACGATAGCTGGCAATTCTTTTTCAATTTGCGCGTAATTGACTTCGGTCTGGGTCAGCGATCGAGACGCATAAGCCACTGGCAGGCCATCTTGCATCAAGCAAACTCCGAATCCATGCAACGAAGCATCACATTGGAGAACGGGGGTTAAGGTGTGATCGAAATACCTTAGGATTGGAGCTGATGTCATGATTCGTTTTACTTCAGAGAAAGCGCTCCATCCCACATAAACTCATTTCCCTCCTTAATTATTTCTCGCAACCAGTGGCGTAACTAGAACGATAATGGGGGGGTGAATATTCATATATCCAGTTCTGCCCTACGGATTTCTTTTGTAATTGCAATAGCTTACAATAGAAATCCGTCTGGCAGAACTGAATATATGACTATCCACCCACCCAACTATCGTTCTCGTTACGACCCTGCTCGCAACTGTCTTGTCACCTCGGACAACTTTGGAGCAAATCTGCGCAGATAGTTGGCCATTACCCAACACGCGCTGTACAGCCTGCTTTTCTTTCAGTTGAGGCATTTCAGTTATCGCCCTCACTTTACCCTCTACTGGTTTAAGACCATCTGCTGTTAGTAAATGTCCCATGTACGATACATCTTTACATCGAAGTTTCAATTTCCCACTGTTTAGCTTCACCCCTTCACTCTGCATTGTTGTAATACATTCAAGAGGTTAACATCATCACCTTCACGAGCTTCGCCTTGCGTTTCGCCACAACCAAACACCAGGATATTATCAGCTATCGCCTAACATCCCTTTAACCCAACCAACCCTTCATCCAATCTTTTTTGAAATCCCTCCGGAGCTGGTGAGATTCCAAACGGCATTCTTAACCACCTGTGTCTTCCACAAGGCGTCCCAAAGGTCGTAGCAAAACTGCTCTCCTCATCTAAAACAACTTGCCAAAATCCATTCTTCGCAGCCATTACAGTAAAACATCTCGCCTTCGACAACTGCGGTAGAATATTTTCTATGGTTGGGAGAGGATAGTGGTTCCTCTTCAGGGCTTGATTGGGATGCTTCTGATCAATACACACCCGGATACGACCATCTTTCTTTCGGGCTACCACCAATGCCGATATCCCATTTGTTGGAACGTTCAAGAGAAGTAAGACACGGAGTTCCACCAATATGTTCAGTTTCTTCTTTAATGGGAATTTTCCTTGTGGGAAACTGCACCGGAGTTATTGTAGGATCTATTTCAAGATGCAAGGTTGCCAACAAATACGTCCGAAAATGCATCTGTCATACTTTCTTCGAAAATACCTTTGACAGTTCTCTGAGAATCGAAGTACTTACACTAAGAAAATTTTCTTCATTGACCGACAACAACTGCATCTGTTGTCTTGCTGTGGAGCCCAACAAAGGTCTAGAGTCGCCCTTTATCACCAAAAATTCAACACTATATTACTTACCATTTTTGAATTCACCACTCTCACTCTTTTCCTTCCTAGGGGATTCTCCTGACTCTTATAATACATAACTAAAGTCGTGTCTGTACTTTCAAGAGAAGCTTAAATTTCCTTAACATTAATCGCGTTCAGCTCGTGTTTTGCGCGCATTTCTTAACTCTCGAAACATTCCCGCAGTGGCGTACGAGAGACGATAATTGGGGGGCACATATTGAAATATTCATGTTATGCAAGATTGATGTATTTTCCAATCTATTGTCTTTACAGGTATTTTAATATGAATATATGAATATGTTCCCCCCCCCCCCCCCCCATTAACGTGTCTCGCACGCCACTGCATTCCCGCGTGTTTGGATCAGTCTATTTCTATGACCTATCCTGGCTATCCAAATGCGGAAACCATTTTAAAGTAATTGTTCAATAAGAACCGACTGGTTTTACAAATTGTAATGCGATAGGAGTTTGTGGCTGAAATGCTGAAAATAATATTATGCGTTCTAGAAGTGTACATAACATAATTGATTGATTGGACATTACATGCAAAACTTTGAGAATCTGTTTTACACTTTAAAAACGATTCAGCAACAGACGAGTGAGACGACTTGTCAAACTATCGCAAGCAACTGAGTAAGTTGACAAAAATTGTGCGCTATTGCCGATTTACCAACCGGCGTCGCGTCACTACCCGTGCCTAGTTTCAGGTCAGCTCCTCTGTCATCAAGAGCATTGAGAGGTCGAGTGTGAGCTCTGATTGTTACAATTAGTATGCAAATATCTGGTTACCATCGCTGCTCAAGCGTGTATCTTTATATTATGATCACAAAAGTCTGGTACAGCTTTGCGCAAAATCATCACTTTCCGATATACATGGTGTATTAAAATAAACCTACCCCCTATTAAAATGAAGCTTCTGTTGGAATTGAATGCATGATTATGCACTAGAAATAGCATATTGATTAGGTTAGGGCATTCAAATTGAGCGTCTCGTTTTACATTTTAATCACCCGTGAGTTTGATGTAATAATAATAATGCATTCAAATGCTAAATAAGGTTTTAATTGGGAGTACTTTTCTTTTATACACCTTGTAGTTTGAACTAAACATGCAGCAAACGAGTGAAAATGGAACGACTATGGACCAAATTAAAACAGTTTTTGCCGACTATACGTCTTTCTGATGGGAGAAGTTCTGATGAGTTGAAACCCAAACAAAGTACGAAGGTCGAAGTCAAATACCAACATATTCCGGATGCCGAAGAGGAAGCCGTCAATTTGAAAGATAATCTTTTCAAATCTACCTCAATTGATGAGATTCTGGATCATGTAGGATTGAGGCTTCTTCACTGGAAAGTCTTCGCGTTTCTTTGTCTCCTAGTTATGACATGTGGTCTGGGAACAGCCATTTTACCCGCTATACTTCCGAGTTTGAAACCAGACTGGAATATCTCTTCAATTATGGCTGGGATATTGACAATCTCTACATCAGCCGGAAAGATCGTTGGGACGCCGTTTTGGGGTTGGGTGTCGGACAAATACGGTAGAAAGCGTTCAATTATTGGCGGTGCCGCGTTCATACTTGTTTTCTCATGTGTGAGTGCGTTTTCAACAAACTATTACTGGCTTTGGATAAACCTTTTCTTCGTTGGCTGTGGACTGACTATAATATTTCAGAGTTATATCACGATAGTGGAATTATTTCCTACAAATTACCGTTCCATGTTTTCTGTATTAATCGTCGTCTTCTGGCCACTAGGATTTCTACTTTCAGCTGTTGTTTCAATGGAGCTTTCAGTGATCGGTCATCATTGGGCTCTGGCTACCGTGTGTTTTCCCAGCGCAGTTGTCCTTATCGGTAGTATTGTATTTCTTCCGGAATCACCACATTTTTACCTTGCAGCCGGAGACGAGAAGAAAGCTTTAAACATTCTACAAGATTTTGCGCCTGAAATGGATTTCAGCGACACAATAATCCGGAAACACGGTCCCAATATACAGAGGGCAGATTTTACACAGCTATTTCGCTCAGGTTATTGGAAAATCACAATATGCGCCTTAATTGTGTCTTTTAGCATATTCCTATCGCATTATGACTTGATATACACCTCGTCTGACGTGGCAGACAGTCAAAATTATACATCTACGACAACTGGTTTGCAAAACGAGGATATAACAAGCAGTCACATGTATGCCATTATGGCCTGGATGAACTTGCCAGAATTTGTGTTCATTATCGCAGCCGCTATGAGTTGTTACGTTTTCACGGTTAAAACAGTACTTTTAATAGTTGTGTCGTTGACACTCCTGTTACAGATCTTTGCATTGTTCGTTGTAAACCGAAGAATTCCATTACTCATAATCACAATGTTATCTCGTGGCTTTCTTGCAACTGGCGTATCACTCCTGAACGTCTTTGTATCTCTGGTTTACCCGACAGAAATTCGTAGCGTTGGTTCGGGCACTTGTGTCACTGCTGGTCGTATCGGAATTCTCCTAGGACCGTTCATCTTTGAGACATGGTTCGCCAAAAAGTATTTTTATGGAACCGTTTTTAATGTCGCAGTAATATTTGCCTTATTTATTTCGACAGTTTTGCTGCCGACGCAGCCGTAAATCCGTAATATTTGCTAAATTTGATCGAATAAAACCAGTGAAATAATATAATTTGCCAACTCTACAGAGTCTTAAGAATAGACAAAAATTTTCCTATTATCCGCATATAGGCAGGAAGTTGTCTTCTTGACACAATTGGGTGGATCATTAATATATATTACGTATATATTTGTAATTAGTATTAATTTCGAGGTGAGTATTGATTTTCCTGCATTCTGATTCGTCAAGATTCACTGTCTCTGAAGTGATAGTCACTGCCCGATGACTATAGCTTTTTGTTATTGTTTTTCAAATGAAAAAATTGGAGTAACTATAAATTTTTATGAAATTATGTTGTTTATTATTTGTAAACACCTCGAAACTTATACTAAAGCAATTAGTCGCCCGAGGCTTGGTGATTAATGTAGTAATCACATCGCCTTCGGCGACCGATTAAGAAATAGAAAACATTTTCCGTGTTTCTACACAGTTATAGAAACACGCGTCGGAGTTTGGGAGAACAAGAAATAATCAATGGGGCGGGTTTTTCCACGCTATTTCGACTTCCCCCAAACTCTCACCAGTGTTTCTATAACTATATGGAAACACAGAAAAAAATGTTTTCTACTATTTTTATAAAATAACTCAACAAAAAGATTTTTTACAAATATTATAATTCGATTTTCGCTGATTAGTTGACATACTTGTGTTCCTAAATGCCTTGAGTGGATTTTTTCACGAACTCCTGACGTAGAGCTTGCGGTATTACCATACGATCACCCTTGAGTATAATGCCTGTACGGCATTCTTCTCTAAAGGTCGAGTATTTCCGAAGTTTCGAAGGAACTTTTTTTACCGACTCAGGCCACCCATCTTCTATTACTTGCTCCAACGCTAGACGTTCCGAATCTTCCTGAGTGAAACGTCGAATTCTCTGGAGTGTATCCTTTCTAATTGGCATGTTCTGTAATGTTCTGTACGACGTTAACCAATTTCACCGGTCAAGTTTGCATCACTCATAAACACATCAGCTAGCACGTTTCTCTTCCTTCTGAGGGCTCCGAGAATCTAGAAGAAATGCACTACTCAGTACCTCAGCCATCACCACCATGCATTGATCTTTTCTTATATGTGACTGTAAAGTCATATTTTTGCGGCCTAAGTAGCATTCGTGGTAGTTGCTTTGGGGCGGAGTGAAGACTTTTCTTAAATATCGTTTCGAGTGGCTTGTGATCCGTTTCCACCAGCACGTTTCTACCACGTAAATACGTCTCGAATTTCTCCATCCCAAACACGATAGCTAGCAATTCTTTTTCAATTTGCGCGTAATTGACTTCGGTCTGGGTCAGCGATCAAGACGCATAAGCCACTGGCAGGCCATCTTGCATCAAGCAAACTCCGAATCCATGCAACGAAGCATCACATTGGAGAACGGGGGTTAAGGTGTGATCGAAATACCTCAAGATTGGAGCTGATGTCATGATTCCTTTTTACTTCAGAGAAAGCGCTCCATCTCACATAAACTCATTTTCACCTCAGCCAACTTTGGAGCAAATCTGTGCAGATAGTTGGCGATACCCAACACGCGCTGTACAGCCTGCTTTTCTTTCGGTTAAGACATTTCAGTAATCGCCTTCACTTTGTCCTAGCTCTTCTGGTTTAAGACCATCAGCCGGAAAAATCGTTGGCCGTTGGGACGCCGTTTTGGGGTTGGGTGTCGAACAAATACGGTAAAAAGGGTTCAGTTATTGGCGGGGCGGCGTTCATACTTGTTTTCTCATGTGTGAGCGCGGTATTTTTATGAAAAGGTATTTTTATGGAACCGTTTTTAATGTCGCAATAATATTCGCCTTATTTATAACAACTGTCTTGCTGCCGACGCTTCCTTAAACTAAGTAAAGCATTAGAGACATTCTTATACACGGACAAAATAATATATTTTACTTGCTGTAACAGATTTTCTACAAATCATAATATTTGCTAAATGTGATGGAACAAAACATGTGTTTGTTAACACTTAACCAATCCAAAACATTCTCCAAGTCCGAATTAAATTAATATCATTTACCAACTCTACAAAGTCGTAAAAAGAGGCAAAAATTTTCCTATCATCCCCATATATGCAGGGAGTTGTCTTCTTGACACAATTGGGTGGATCATTAATATATATTACGTATATATTTGTAATTAGTATTAATTTCGAGGTGAGTATTGATTTTCCTGCATACTGATTCGTCAAGATTCAATACTGCGTACCCTGAGGTTTGAACAGACAAAGGTTCACTGTTATATCTATTTGTTTCTGATAATAAAATCGAAAAAATTCCGATATTAAACAGGCAAATAGTTACCCCAAAGTAAAAATTTTGCAGATATCACGCGTACATGATTTATAGGATTAAAGAAATACTATTTGCTAGCTTATAGAAAACTATACTGAGAATCACCAATATAATACATGGAAAAAAAAGATCTACATCCTCCTAAGATGAAGTTTGAACTTGGTAAGAGAACCTTTAGATTTAATGGACCTTTACAATATAATAAATTGCCTACTAAATTAAAAAGTAAGAGAGGCAACGACAGTGTCAAAACTTTAATTTGGAATTATTTACGTAATTGATAGTGTAAATCGCATGTTTAGATTCTATTATTATACATATGATTAAAATAATTTGAATACAGGTCCCTCATGAATACCAGCTTTAGCTGAAGAGGCTAACCTGTTTAAACAAAAGTGATCCAATCCAATGCAGCAATCAATGAATTCAGATTGTGTATTGAAAGTGTTAGAGACTTTATGTTCGGATTTTGTTGACAAATAAACGCACTTGCTGACCATACAATGAACTCGAAATGTCAATATTGCAATCTCTCATTCATTGTATGGTCAGCGCGTGCGTTTATTTGTGAACAAAACACTCACAACAGTCTCTCGCTTTGCAATAATTCGCAAATAATGGCGTAAAACCGTAAAAATATAGCACATTAGCATAAATGAAAAAATTGGAAGGAAGGAAAGAGAAAATGGTGAAAAGATTTATTTTGTTTAAGATAAGATATGCATGGGAACGATAAATGTAAAAGGACCCTCGAAAGAGCTCATAATAATGTCGAATCCGTTCGCAAACCATAAAAATATAAGTAAAACAACTTTTAGTTATGTTGCACACGAAAGTCTTTGCTTCAACTATAGTTATCGTAGTTCTTGTTATATTTTTCTGGCAGTCAATCTATTCACTTCAGCGTATTTCACTTCAGCGTAAATGACAACCTACTATTCAGGAAAAACTGTAATAAAAACGTTTGATAAATTAAATGCCTTAACTCCCAAACTGAAATGGTAACTAGAGAACTACGACATGGAATTTTATGCTATTTGAAAATTTTAAAGACTATTTCCTAACACATTCAATATAAAGCTTTCAATACGATACGATTTGAGTGAAAATGTAATAACGACATGTCATTACAATATTTAAATATCAATTATATTCATGAAACGAGTTGAGTGTTCTTATATCAATTTTTACACAACAACAGCAGTATGGAAGAATCTTGCTTCAGACATTTCTGGAAATTCTTCCCAAGAATATCTTTCAAAGTTGAAGCTTTCAACAGACTTCATCTCTCTCCGCTCACCATACCCTCCCAGGACTACAATGTTGTTTCCAACAACAACAGCAGTACATCCCCTCCTCTTACATCTCATTGATGGCAGCATGTGACTTTGCCCCGTCTTGACATTGTAAATTATAACCATATTTATTGACATACCGTAGCTGTCAGCGCCACCAATAACAACGATATTGTCCCCCCATCTCACAGTTGCCATATCGCTTACTGCGTAAGGCAGTGGTGACAACTGTTTCAGCTCCTTCTTCTTTATATCGTACTGTACGACACTGCTGAGGTTGTCTTTGCATCTGCCAGTTGTTCTTCCACCAACTATCAACAAATTATCATCAAATATCTCCATGCTGTGCAGTTGCCTTTGTTCTGACATTCTTGATAAGGTCTTCACAGAATAGGGAGGAACAAGCTGGGTTGCTCGGATCAAGTCCTTTCCAACACCTCCGGAGGCTAATAACTGATCATTATACAGTACACTGTTGTGGTGTATCAACTTATCAGGTAGTTTGACAGGGCAGTCACTCCAGGGTGCTGAGGGGTCAGGTTTTGGGTAAATACTCATTCTAATCATATCATCAACAGTGACAGACTCATCACAGATACCCCCAGCTATGGCGATATGATTGCTATAAATAAATGAAGTCCATAACGATTCTTTGGCATGGATTGTAATGGCGACCATGTTCTTTGACGGAAGTTAAACATCTCTACAGAGTTAGTTCTGAAACCTCCTGCAATAATTATATTTTCCTTATCGCCACTTGGTCTATTTCTTACTTTTCTTGTGTTTTCTCCTTTCTTGGCCTCCATCATGATAAGAACGTCCTTTATTTCATCAAAAGCTTTGACCAAAGCTGTTTTCAATCCATCGACTTTGTTGTTAACCGCTTCATGTTTTCTTTCTATATCTGCTTTTATATCTGCGGTGTTTTTCTCGATATTCCCAATCCTTTCCTTGATATCTGCCAAAGTTTTTGTCATTCCTCTGCACGAGTGAAACTCAGTCAACTTTCGGAATTCACACACTTTACTTTCATGTTGAACAAGATCACCCTTGTTTACAATTAAACCACAACCTTGGTTTGTACAAACGGCTGGTGCATATCCACATGTACTCTCGTGGCGGTCAAGATTTTGTACTTGTACAACTTCTCGACAACCTCTGTCGATGTAAACGCAACGAATTTTTGATTCCTTTAAAAAATCTTTCACCATTCGTGATGGTTCAGCCAATGTCTCTACGGTCAGTTTATCAGAACATGTTGGGCATGTTTGGGAATTTTCCAGATATTTCGTAATACAACAACGGCAGAAAGAATGCTGGTTTCTCGAACACATAACCGGCTCTTTCAAGACATTTAAACAAATCTGACAAAGGAAATTTCGATCAATTTTGCTCACAAACCTTTCTTCATCGTAGCCTTGTATAATATATGAAGCCATATTTCACGCCGTTTTTGTGTCGTAAGAAAAAAGCAAGTTCTGTGGCGTTTGTCGCTCTGTAGTTAAGCCTCGCTGTATGGACTAATTATAAATACCGTGTTCGTTCTTGGAGAAGTCTGATCGAATTTGCAGCTTGAAATATTCAACAAAATCATCCGTTACAACAGACAAGCGTCGCTTAATTATTCAAAGCGTCTTTCATGCAAGACAATTATTTCTTGCACGTAACACTCGAAATATTTAATTACTTGTAACATGTCGATACCTGTAATTGGTCGAAACTAGTAAACAATTTCGTGCAATACACGTGATTGGTAAACAATTAGTAAACAATTTCGCAATTTAAATATGGAAATGAGTTCCCAGAATTGGCAGAAAATAATAATTTGTAATAATAATAATAAGAAAATCTAATCGTAGACACGCTTAAGAGTGTGCCGTAACTAACATATACTGTCCCTAATATAGTATTATTTATATTTAGCACCGAACACGTCTTTCAGTCTTTCTCGAATAACGAATAAAGTGCCACTAAACTGTCATGTAATAAACCAAAGCGTATAAGGAAAGGGACTCGGTGTCTTGCCAAAGTTCATGATCTTTGAAGCATGGCACCTCAAGCAGCTTCTGTCGTCAATGTTATGAGCAGAACCTGAACCGAATGAGATCCATTTATAATATCTAGTCTAATAAATTTGTAAGTAGTTGATATTTTAAAGTTGTATGTACTAATTGTTTTTAAAAACCTATAACGTTTAATAATCTTGTAAATAGTTGTCAAAATATTTTTGTATACATAATCATGCAATTCAGCCTTGTGGCTGCTAGATGATTTTAAACGGATTATCTATAACTATCTATATATCGACAATGTTTTTCGTGTCTAATTTTCTCGGTGAAGATTTCAGGTGTTTAGGAGTTACTAGGCTGATTTAATATGAAGTCTATGACTACAGGTATACGTCAAAGACGAAGAGAACCATAAACTATATGCAGGGCCTTTGTCGAAGCTTAATTGAGGGTGTATACATGCAAGTATACGGCAAATTCATGTTCAAGTAAACGTAAAAAGAAAAGAAATCGGTCAGGGGTCCCCAGACGAATATGCGCATCCGCCGCATCGGTCTAAGAACGGTGTTTAATTGACTAAACACGGGATCAGGGGCGTAACGACAGGGTGTCCCAAAAAAAACGAAAACTATTGAAATCACCCATAACAATGCCATTGTTAGAGTTTGAATGCCTAAGCACTCTGTTGGGCCCACAAGTGTATAAACGGGGTTGCCATAAGCATTTTTATGCATGCATATGATGCAGTCAAATTTGCTTGTTCGCAAAAATGATATTTATTAACAATATTTACAATTTACAAATATGGATAACAATATTTAAATGTGCATCTCAAAAACCATGACCTTCGACATGTCCCCTTTCTCTAGCAACACAAAGCATTTAGCATTTTATAAGTTGCATTAAATCCCCACGGGCTGAAATTCGTGAACACGGCATTCAAATTTTAACAATGAGTGATTTCAATAGTTTTCGTTTTTTTTGGGACACCCTGTGCAGGGTGTCCCAAAAAAACCAAAAACTATTCAAATCACTCATTGTTAAAATTTGAATGCCGTGTTCACGAATTTCAGCCCGTGGGGATTTAATGCAACTTATAAAATGCTAAATGCTTTTTTCGACCTGAGGGCCTTCGGCAGGAGAGTTAGTGGATCATTGTCCTTGAGATACGCATTTAAATAATGTTATCCATATTTGTAAATTGTAAATATTGTTAATAAATATCATTTTTGCGAACAAGCAAATTTGACTGCATCATATGCATGCATAAAAATGCTTATGGCAACCCCGATTGATACACTTGTGGGCCCAACAGAGTGTTTAGGCATTCAAACTCTAACAATGGCATTGTTATGGGTGATTTCAATAGTTTTCGTTTTTTTGGGACACCCTGTAGAACGATAATTGGGGATGTGAATATTCATATATTCAGTTCTGCCCGACAGATTTCTATTGTAAGCTATTGCAATTACAAAGAATTCTCGAATTCTGTAAACTAGGCTTCACTGGTCAAGCGTGTACGTCTTTATTCATATCATGACCATTATAATTGTGGTCAGTACAAGTATATGTATATGCGAAGTGACGGCAACAATATAATTATTTTCCCATACTGTTTAAAGTTTAAACCACCAAATGGCTATGGGGCGTCATTTCGGATGCCGACGAGGAAGCCACAGATTTCAACGATGATTGTTTCAAATCTCACCTAATCGAGGAGTTTCTTGATGATATAGGATTGAGACTTCTTCAATGGAAAGTGTTTGCATTGCTTTCCCTTTTATCAATGGCCTGTGGCCTGGGAACTACTCCCCCCCCCCCACGAGTACCCTGGGTACGAGACCCTGGGTACGAGGTTGACTATCCGCTATACTTCCTAGTTTGAAATCAGACTGGTATATCTCTTCAATTACGTCTGGAGTTTTGACGTTATCAATACCTACCGGAATGTTCCTGGGAACAAAGCTTTGCATGGGGTTGGGTGTCGCACAAAAATTAATATGTTAGATAAGCCTTTTCTTTGTCGGCTTAGGAATGACTATTTCATTTCAAAGTTAATATGTCATGATTTAATATTTCCCACAAGGTATCGTTCTATGTGTTCTGTATTAACAGCCGTGTTCTGGACTTTAGGATTTCTTCTTTCGAGTTTCGGCTGTTGTTTCAATGGAGCTTTCGGTGATCGGTTATCATTGGGCTCTGGCTACCGTGTGTTTTCCGACAGCAAAGTTCTTTTCTCAGCCAGTTTTGCCTGCTAGGAACGAAGGAGTGAGAAGTCTCCCTTCCACATCCACCAGATAGGCACTAAAAACGACTGGAGTGAAGGAGCCATGCCAACTTCAACAATTCTTCGATTATACTGACGTTTCTTCTCACGTTCGTTGGCATTAAACGAGCTGGTAAGAGTCTGGCGTCGATGTGTCGAAGCGTCAGGATTAAACACCCTGACATCAAAAAATGCTTTTTCACATCTTTGCCAGAGACCTAGCTCTCGCCTATGTCCACTCTGGCGTCGTCGGCGGAATTAGCACTGGATGGAAGTACTTCGCCAGTTAAAGGAGCAAGAGCAGGTTCAGTAGAACGTCATAGGCCATGATTTCGTCATGTCGTCGATGAATAAAACCTCCTTTCAGGCACGACAAGGCATGGTCCACGGTGAAAGATTTTCCACAAGCGCAGAAGGATGGAAGGCGCTTCAATGGCCACCGATAACGCATATAAGCCCCATTTACACTACACTCGATTTATTGGCACGGCACGGCTAAAATGGGTACCCGTGCCCAATTTTACTAGTGCTCAGGGTACCAAAACAAAGGCCGGGCACGGATGAAGTGGGCACGGGTACCCATTTTAGTCGTGCCGTGGCAATAAATCGAGTGTAGTGTAAATGGGGCTATAGATTGCGTCAAAGAACTCTCGTTTCGTGAGGACATACCCTTCATTAGCAAGTGGCAGTGCTGTCAACTAAGCTTAGGATCCCTTCAACAGGGCGAGATCATTTGCTCGAATTTGCTCTTCACTCATACTTGATCTCAAGTTCTGCAACACCAGCATGTTTTGGGCATGTCGATGATTAATTATCTCACGGCGCAAATCGTAGATGGATGCTCCATTTTCATTTGCTGGAACGTCATCATTCTGATGGATGATCTTGACAGATGGTCTTTGAGTCTCATTTTCTTCATCGCACAGCTCGGAGAAGATAGGAATTCCAAGACCTCCCATGCATTCTCGTCGGCAGTGAGCCAGTTACAGTAACTTCCTCTCATGGATGGAAGCACTACGGTTGGCTAGAAGCGATGGCAGGAGCTTCAGGCTGATGGAATCATCTACCACTTGCATCGCAGTCTTGATAACTGGAACAGCGCGTATATGGTAAGTAAATCTGTGCCGAAACCCAATATTGATTTCAGTTGCTGATTTTTACGCGTAATATATATAGGTCAGTGATTAGGGTCAGTGATCCAGCACTGATCTAATCAGATATTATTTCAGACAAAATTTGTTCAAAAACCAACAAGCTTAACCACGGCCAGGTTACGAAGCTACGGGCTCAAAAATCCAAGATGCCCTAACGAGAGGCAAGTACTAGTCGTGAAAGTTAATCTTTGTGTGGTGATTACTTTCGTTTTTTTAAACCAGAGTAGCGATAATTACGATGGATTATATGGCCTGGTTGCCGTGAACTCATGAACTTCAATTCGATGCATGACAGATCAACCTGATCAATTTTTAAGTGTGTAGATCAGATTAGATCTTATAATATAGGTATGTTAGCGCAATCACTCCCCACAATCAACAATTCCCACAATCTCGTTCCCAGGTCTTCCGTGTGAAATGACGGAAATGACGCAAGGGTTACGCAAGGGTCTTGTGACTTGCTTGTGACATGACCTGTGCTTGAACATGCTGATTGCTGAATTAAAAATTTAAAAAACACTCGTTTGCTGCGTTGGGAAGGCGTGTGG